GACATGTCATATGCACTATTTTAGATAGGGGTGAGCATGGTCCGGATTGGACCGGATTGGGGTAAAACCATGACTAATCCGTTATCTACGGTTCTTGAAAAATTGGAACCAATCCAATCCGTTTAAAATCATGGAACCAATCCGAACCAATCCATTTAAATACGGATTGGATCGGTTTAGGACCACGGATTCACATAATTAAATAACAAAAAATATATATATATATATATATAACACTTTAATTTCATAAAAATATAAACATAGTGCTATATCATTTCCATAATAGCAACATGTTTTTCTATAATAATGACATACTGTTCTTGAATTTAAACAACCATAAGAAAATACAAACAAAAGTAAGAAAATAAGATATTATACGGTTTTAGGTTTGAGTTTAGATTTTATATAGAATAAGAGAAAATACTATGGGGGAGGATGTATAATAAAAATATAGACTATTTGTATACGGTCCGGATCGGTTCCAATCCGGAACCGTGGGGTTCAATCCGGAACCAATCCGTGGACTACGGATTTTTAATTTTTCAATCCGGAACCGAACCGCGGATTCAAAAAACCAATCCAAACCTATCGGATTGGACTGGACTGGATCGGATTACGGATTTCACGGATTCCTTGCTCAGCCCTAATTTTAGAGGTCCAGATCTTTTCTAAATGAAAAAGTATAAGAAATCAAAAAACTTAGAAATTGACATAGAATTCAGTATAAATTAATTTTCTTATTGTGGGGTCATTTCATAAATTATTGTCTATTAAATTTAAATTTGGATAAATTATAAATATTAATTGAAAAATATTTTTTTAAAAATAAAACGATAAATTAAATATTGCTGTATAAACAGAATTAATAGAAAAAATAAAATTCCTAACTACTGTTCTATACAACAATAAAATTACCTAAATTATTTATTGAAATATATTTATGATAGTATTAAACTATTAATTGACTTGATGATTTATTAATAAAATGAGTAATTGGTTATACAATTAGAAATTTAAAGGGGCATAATACAATTTTCATAATCACGAAGGACAATCCATATTTTAAATAACCCTTAAGTCACACTTCAAATTTAATTTTTTTTTTCTTCTGAATTTGTAGAATCTTTCATTTAAAATCCCACTTAAATCATAATAAAAAATATTAGAGATACCAAATTTTTTATCAACTTTTTTACTAAACACATTATGTGAGTGTCGATCCCACACCCATCTGAGTTTGATTTTTTATACCTATGTGAGTATTTGGTCAATGTTTTGTTAAATTTTTTTTGTAACCCTAGCATTTTTGGTAATATTTTTTTGTATCCCTAGCATTGGTCAATTTTTTAGTAATATATATATATATTTTTATAATGGGTAGAGTTATAATTTTAAAATGACAATGTTATAAATATGTTGGTACACTAATTAGTATACCAATTGATACATGTAGCACCACCGATTTTAAAAGGTAATTTCCTCAAGAGAGAGGATTCTCTCTAGTCCACAGAGTGGATTGAAGCTTGTTGTTCGGCCTATGGAGTCCATAACTAGTCTTATTTTGATAATCTAAATCGCTTAATGTTTAGAGCTCGTCAAGCACTTCATACTTGCTAAAAATCACGTTGATCGGATATCGGTAACTCCTTGATTGGAACACATTTTTGTCAATAGTAAATACGATTTTAAAAATAAATTGTTAACAAAAATGTATTCTAATCAATGATCTACCAATATCCGATCAACGTGATTTTTTATATACATGAAGTACTCAATGAGTTTTACATATTGCACGATTGAGATTATTAAAATGGGACCCGTGATAAACTCTATGAACCTAACAATATACTCCAATCTATTATATGAACTGAAGAGAAGTCTCTCCCTTTCCTCAATATCAAAAACAAAGTTGAAACTCCCATCAAAGTGCATAAAATAAAATAAAATTAAAAATTAAAACAAAAAACGAAAGCTACAAAACAGAGAAGCACAAAACCAATAATAGAACCTCCTGTTACACTTCGAATTTTTAATGTGAACGGTTCATATCAGGAGGAGATGCGGTGGGTTTTGCGAATAAATTTTTTTAAATTTAAATTGAAGATTTTATTTGAGAATATATTATTTTAATATATTTTTTTATTTTTTATGAAAAAATATACAGAAAAGTAGAGAGAATGATGTAATAACTTATAGTGACTTCTTAATTTTTTAACTAAAATGTATAATTGACAAACGAGACCTTAAACTTAAAATAAGCTTAACTCTTTTGGTTTATACCCACAAAACTATTTTGCCCCAACATAGCAAAAATTATATTTTATTTTAATAACATAAATTAAAGTACAATAAACATCATATCCTTTAAACACATTCTAAAATACATATAAAATCACAAATTTTATCAAACTTAACTATCCTTTAAACATAGGTGGGGACTTCGTCGAATAATTTTATCGTGACCGTTGGTCTTTTCATTAGCTTGTCTATAATTTTCATTAGAAAAGTATACCCACCAAAGGCTTATGGGCCATCATTATCTTATAAACACACAAATGTTGGTCTGGGAACCTTAGAAAAACCAATAAGAACTCAAGAACAGTGTAATTTCAGTTGTCAAACAGTGAGGGGATATAAAGTTTCGCCTTAAAAGAAAATATTTCTTTATATCTTCATGTTGATGGAACATTTCAAATAGATTCTAACCCTTCCTTCTTATCTCTCATGAATTAGAAAGAGACTACTGCTTATGATTTGTCTCCCATTGATAGTGCTTTAATGTTGTGTTTGGTTGGGAGATTTGGAGAGGGATTTAGAAAGGAAAAGGGAAAAGGTATATGAAACTAGGTAAAATATAGGTATGTTTTATTCACATTTCACCTACTTTTTCTATTTTTCTTTCCAAATTCCTCCTCAAATCCTCCAACCAAACACAGTATAAAGATAGAACAATTTTGGTTTTAACTTGAAACAAGTTGAGTGATTTATTTGATAATTTCATTCACCAAACGATTATAACTCAAGAAAATTGTGATGGTGTTTAAATAAAGGTAATCATTTTGGAAATAAAACAAATTGCCAAGAAAAGCGAAAGTTACAGCAATGATATATTGGTCAAGTTGCAATAGGTCTAAGATTTGAAAGATTATAGATGATATAATAGAATCATTTAAAAACTGTGAGTCCCTCATTTCTCTTACTTTTTCGGTTGTGTTTAATTCTTAAATTTTTTTTAACAAATAAATGAAACAAAAAGAAAAAGAAAAGATAAAATTACAAAAATCTAATTTATATTTTTGTTGATTTTTCTTTTCATTTTAATTTCATTTCACATAACTCTATGTAAATTTAAAATCCATATAAAATCTAATCTAAAGATCAGCAACAATGTTACAAAATCAGAAAAGTGATTACAAAATAACGTGTATTGATCCCATTTATTTTAGATTTGACATCTCTCACATGAAATTTTATCCGACATGACATTGTACTTTTTCTAATTCTATAACCTTTTTCATTACAGCAGCCAAGCTCAATGGCCTATTTGCATACAGTGATGTGCAAATTTTTAACGGGTATTTTGAGTCCAGGGATAAAATGGGAGCAGGTTGGTCCAGTGATAAAATAAAAAAAAGTTTGGTGTCATGCCCTAAGAGGCCGGCATGCGAGCCAAAGATTTATGTTGATACCCAAAAAAAAAAAAAAAAAAAAAAAAAAAAAAGAAAAAGAGTTGTATCAATCATAATCATAATATTTTATTATATTTATTTTAAAAACATATATCATAATACTATAATAAACAAAAGTTGGGCAAATTACATATCAATTTTGACTTTGAATTTCTCATATTATATCAATTTAGTCCAATATTGATAATGCTCCTTTAGAAATTGGACCGAAATCAATGATCAAAATGGTTCGTTTACGATTCCTAAATTGATTAAGAGGTTAGCGTCTAATTTAAAATGGTCTATTCTCTTTTGATTTGACCATTTTACCCTTAATTTTTGTCAAAATTCTTAATTAATGTTATTAATTGGAGGGCAAAATTGATGTAATTAGAACTACAGTGGCCGAATTAACACAACAGACAAATTACTGAGACTAAGGCATCGTTTGGGAACATGCTATTGTAGTAACATTTTAGTTTTTTACGAAAAGATGTGTAGAAAAGTAGAGAGAGTGATGTGACAATTTACAACTTTTTGACTAAAACTGAAAGTTGTCAAACAAGGCCTAAGCATATAATTTGCCCAAAAAAGTTTTGGAGACAAATTTAAGAACAAAATAACTTCTTATGAACAAAATATATTTGTTACCAAAAGTATCGTCACTATATTTTTATAATGAATTACTATAATTTATTGGCGACATTTTTAACATTTGGTCATTAAAAGTTCTTTTTTTGACTTTTTATAATAAACTTTCAAAACTATTTACATGACGATTGAAATTGATCTCTTAATATTTTTTACAACAAATTGTCTTTATGCATGATAAAAAAAAAAAAAAAAAATTCCTAGTTCATCGATAAAATGATGAGTATCTAAAATCAATTTAGCCCGAAGTGCCATTAAAATATAATTATTTTCTTTGATAGCTAAATGTTCGCAAAAGCACCAACTAACAAAACGAGATGAAAGGTCAAGAGTTAACATGGTGAATAAGGTTTTTTTTGGTAAAGATGAATGAGGTATTTCATTAACAAGCATTGTATGAATTTGAGTTTTACTATTAACACATGTAATTTCTCCTTCTCCTATTACTCTACTATTAATTGTATTAAAAAAAAGTAATGCTAAGATTATTAAATTTTCTACCAAATAAATGACTAAATATCTCATATGATTATGGGGTCCACACTTTTATGGACCCACATCCATTAGTTATTCATTTGATAAGAAATTTGAGATGTATAACATTTTTTTTAAAAGAACATATCCAAAACAGCAATGCTAGATATCGTGAAAAATTTTTCATAAAAATAATCATGAAAGTTTTGTGACCCTTGAATTACATTTAGAATAAAGCACTACACACTAATCAAGGTAATCCAATGATCATAACTTTTTCATGATCATTTTCATAAAAAAGTATTCATGATTCCTAACTTTTCTCTACCCAAAACACATTTTAGTATTATGAAAACCAAGAAAAATCTTTCTTATAATTAAGTCCATCATTGCTAAAATAAAACCCATCTTCTTTCACCAACCAAAAACACTTCCTCAGGGGTGCACACCTATGGCTATCACGTTGAACTTGAAAGGCACTGAACCTCTTCCTCAGTCTGTCCCATTTCATGGTGCAACTGAAGAGAGTGGTTCCCCAAAGCTTAGTCTTCAAGCTCCAACTGAAGTCATCACCCTCCTGGAGAGCTCGGCCTCCCATATCGTCTTCCCCGGATGCACACCAGATTACCAGAGGCAGTGATGAGTTGTTCTTGAAGCCATTGATGACATAAACATCGTATCTTCTGCCGGAGAGGTAGTTGGGCTGTTTGAGAGACATGAAAACAATGTAGGGTACAACAAGGGAGAGTATGAGGAGAAAGATTGTGAGAGTCTTCATTTTTTTTGTGGGTTTATTTTGGAGTGGTGTGAAGCGATAATGTTATATATATGATGATATGATAAGATTCTAGCAATATAGGGCAAAGTGGTGCATGGTCTTCATATGGTAAGTTATTAATTAAGACTATTATTTTATTTTATTTTTAAGACAAAGAAAAGTAAAAAAAAAAAAAAAAAATTGGGTAAGACCCGAATTCAGATATTATAGTGACATTAGTGACAATGTTGCAAATTCATTTCAACCATTCGTTTTGTGAGAAATTAAAGAAAAAAAAATTGAAATGTTGCCTGATCATAGTGTGTCATTTCATAATTATGTTGCAAAAATTCGTAACATGAATAACAAAATAACATTTCTTTTCTCAAGCAAAAAGAAAAAAACAAAAATCATAACATTTCATAACATGTCATAAAAAAATCATAATTAAGAGTTTTTTTTTTTAGTGTTTTCTCTAAGTACACCACAACACAAAAATTCATAACTTACTTAGAGGATGTGCATGGTAGTGTTTTTCTAAAATTAAAATTTATTATATTATTTTGTATTAATTTTATGTAAAATTTTATTTTTATAACAATAAAGTCGTGGATGGGCCCATTGCACTCCGCTTAAGTTGCCGTTTGGCAATTGACTTTTTTTAATTGATTTTTTAACTTTTAACTATTTCAGTTTAGGACTAAAATTTGATTGGTTTGATTTTTATGACTTTTTCTATTTTGTGAGAGAAAAAGTGAAATAATTATGATTTTAATGTGATATTTTTTCTTATTAACTTATTTAACCTATTTTGTCTTTTGTATTTTTTTAGCTAAAAAATACTAGCCAAAAAAGCTCTAAATGTTGGCATTTGAAATGTCACGAATTGTTATTATTAAAATCTCACTTCATTAAAAAAAATCACAGACAAATTATATCTGATCAATCTTGAATGGATTTTTTTAGATCTACCCGCCTCAAGTCATACTTGCCGATAAATAGAATCAAAGTACACTCATGTAATATAAGCATGGAATTGTTTATTAATTAACTATTTTAACTTTACAGGTAACTTTTGTTGTTGATTGCACCAAATTATAATAGATTATCTTAATCTCAAAAATCACACTCCCACAGTCCCCGCTGGAGTTTTGATTTTCACTGATTATACTAATATTATACCTATTTAAGTCTATCTCATCCTCAATGATCAAAAAAAGAAATAAATAAAAAGTCTATCTTATCATTAAAACCCACTACCTATATATATAGGTTTGTAAATTCATTTAATTAGTTATTTCCCTTTATTCAAAGTATTATGGGGAAAAAAATTAATTACATAAATAGATTTTTTATTTATTTTCTTGTAAATAAACATAAAATCAATTGAACCAGACCATTTGGCACTATTTGACCTAGCGGTCGTATAACATCTTTATAGCGTGAGTTTTCGAGTTTAAGGAGTTTAATATATTTTGTAAAAATGTTAGAAATTTTAAAAATTTTATCAAATATCTCATATGAGTGTGAGACTCACATAATATGGGTGTGGGACCCACATTATGTAAGATATTTGGTAGAATTTTTAGGGTCTCTACCATTACTCTACATTTTGTGGTTATATTTATTTTTCTTCCACCATGGGAGTTGTATGTAGTTAATTGTTGTTGGGCTTGGTGGGCTTTGTTGACTTTTTAGATATTAGCAACAAACTCGTGCTTCACACGCAATGATTTTTTTTTTTTAAATACAATACATTATAAAATAAAAATAATTCATAGTTTTTATTTGAACTTTAAAAAGCAATTTCTATTAACTGGGTTAGGATCAGATTGAGCTGAACTACATAGAAAGATTATGTGTCAACCCCAACACAATATCAGGATTAATATAGCCATCTTAAACCCAACCCTAAAAAGATTTTTAACTATTGAGAAGTACCATTTTACCCCCTAAATTATAAAATTATACAAATGGACCTCCTAAACTATTGGTATGTTTCACTTTTACCAGTTTCGTTAGGGGGTCCAACTGATACGCTTTTATAATTTAGGTGGTCCATTTGTATATTTTTATAGTTTAGGAGGCAAAGTAATACTTTTCAATATATAGTTTAGGAGTCAATTTATACGCTTTTATAGTTTAAGAGGTCAAACTAATATTTCTCTATAATTTAGGGGGTCTTCATGCAAATAAATAACTCCAATGGTAAATGCACCTAAATGTAAAATTTGTGAAGAAAACTGGAAAAAAGAAATCACTAAAAATGAAAAGGTAAAAAATAAAAACAAAAAAATGACACATTTTTCATAGTGTTTTGTTTTCAGTAAATTTTTTTTAACTTTTTGGCAAGTTGGTTGTTGGGCTTTTTTGGCTATTTTAGCCACAAAAGACAAAATAGCTTATTTTAGCCATAACAAACAAAACATCACATCCAACCCATAATCATTACATTCTTCTCTCACAACAAAACTCAAAAAAGCCAAAAAGCCAAAAGCCCTTCCCAAACCAAGCTTTTAAGCCCAGGCTAAAATAGCCAAAAAAGCTAAAAAGCCAAAAAGCCAACCCACTTCCCAAACGGAGGTTTAGTTTGATGTATTTGGCTGAAATATGAAGGGGGAAAAAAAAAAAAAGTTTATTGACGATTAAAGAAACCAAAACAAAAACACATAAGCACTTTAAAAAACCAAACAAATCTGATAAGTGTATTTTTAATAAAAATAATTAATTAATTATTAATAATTTTTGTTACATATGTAATTTCTATGTAAGAATTTAAAATATAATTTTGAAAATATTTCCATATTAGTCTTTCCATATCGTTTTTCTTAAATTATGTAATCATAATTGCAAAAATAATATTATATGCACCAATTGGTATATTAATTAGTATACTAACAAATGATGTAGCATAATTTTAGAGATTTTGGTTATTTGTAATTTGTATCATGAGTGTGGTCAGGAATAATATCATGACTTATGTTAGTATATTAATTGATATAGCAATTGATGCATGTAGCACCACCTTAACTACAACGCAATATTGTTTGAAAATAGTTCCTTTTGTATTATTTGCAAATAATTTTTTATTTGGAAAAGGAAACCTACACCTAAAAAAGTCAATAAATCCATTAATAATGACTTTATAAATTCCTTTTAATTATATTATTTCCAAGGACTAATATGGAATGATTTTCAAAATTGTATTTTAAAATATATAAAGATTTTGGTGTAGGCTTTCCTTTTTCAAATTGAGAATTATTTGTAAATATTACAAAAGGTATTATTTTCAAACAATATTACATTGCGAATATAACAATACATTTTAACAAAAAAAATTATAATAACAATTATCATATCTAAAATAATTAGATTTATATAAATCTAATTTTGGATAATAATTGTAAGAAATAATGATATGTAGAACATTTGATGGTGTAAAATTTACAAAAATATATACACACACAGATATATATATATATATATATATCAAAAAGTAAAAATTAAAAACATTCATCTCTTAGTTTTTAATTTATTAAAAATAATTATGTATTATAAAATATATGTTCAACCAAACACTTTGACACAAATTCTTAAAATATATATATAACTAGATAAATCACATCAAATATGGGCTATATTCAACACATGAAAAATGAAATTATTTTTAAAAAAATGTTTAGAAACTGTCTAATCCTAAATATAAAAAAATTACTTTAACTTACTAATTTTGCACAATTTTGCTATACTTAAACTTAATCATGATTGATTTTTAAAATCTGTTAGAGTCGTGTATAACTTGCTTCTAGTAAATAAATTTAATGTATTTAAAAGTATTTATGAACGGGGTTACAACCTCCAAAAAAAAAAAAAAAATGAAAGTACCAACATGTTATAGTGAAAATAATTAAAATATTTAGTGTTAAAAAATATAAACATACAATTTTTTTTTATTTTTTATTTTTTAAATGAGGACACAGGTATTTTTTTTTTTACATAGTGAATCTTCACAAACACTCATATTTCCTAAAAAAAAAAAAAAAAAAAAAGGGGAAAACCCCCAAAAAATTAATTTTTTTAATAAAATCGATCAACATTTTAAATTAGTACCTTGCTAATAGACATTAACTTTTTTAATAGAATCGATCTACACTTTAAATTAGGACTGAGCATAGGGTTATTTGAACCGCACAATCCGCCCAACCCGAACTGATCCGCATACAAATGGGCGGTTTTACAGACACAATGCTGGCGGATGCGGCTTGGAATATAGCATGACTGCAGGTTGTGAGCGACTGCGAGTTTAACCCGCACCTACAAGAACCCGCCCGCACTTGAGACTTTTTTCTTTTTTTTTTTTATAATAAAACCTAGACCGTTGTTATTTTATTATTGCATTTTGAATGAATGTAAAAGTAAATGAAGAATTACTTTTTAGATAAGCTTAGGATTTTGAATGATTTTACTTTAATTATATTGTTGGATAGTAGATAGTGAATGAGATTAATGATCTAGTTTAGGATTTTGATTTGATTTAAAAGTTTAAGATTTTGAATGATTTATTTGTGTTAGGAATTGATTTTGTTGTGTTTTTAATTTTATAAGTTTTAATTCATTAATTATTAATGTTGGAGTATTTTATAAAATGGGGGGAAAATCGTCCAAAATAAATATTTACAAAATGAGAAAAAAAAAACTCCAAAACAAATTTTAAAGAAAAAAAATCCAACCCGCAAACCGCCCGCAACCACCCGCAACCACCCGCACATCTGCAAACTCTATCCACACAAATTGCAACCCGCACGATAGGTGGTTACGGGTTAAATTTTTTCCAAACTGCACACATACGGGCGAGTCCAAACCGATCCGCAAACCGTCCAAAACCGAACCACGACCATCCCTAATTTAAATTCGTTGATTTCATCATCTCCTCTTCACCCCACAGCTATCACCTAGCTATGAATTATGAAGAAAAAAATTGGGACATAATCAATAGAAAATAATAAACATTAACTAATCTTGAATATCTCTAGCAAAAGAGTTTATAAAAGTGTTACGGTGATATATTACATTTTTTTTTATCAGCAAAAGAAAAATTT